AACTATAACAATTCCTTCCATAAAGAGATAATTTTTGTGACATCTAGCTACAACAACCAGTATTTTTGCTTGCACTTTGCTTTTGTATCCTACTCCTCTCATATAATGGTGTATCAAGTAATTTGTAATTTCTTTTTAATCGCTAATGGGAACAAGAAAAATAATTGAGACAAAACTGGGTAAAACTGTTATGAGAAACTTATTATTCAAAGCGGATGGGCTTAAATGCTGACACAGTGTTACCAAAGTGTAAAATTCCTATTTAATGATGCACATGGTATCTTTGCCAAGATGAACACTGATGTAATCGCATTGTCTTTGTGTTCAGAGCTTGTCTGAAAGGGCAATGACCTCTTGTCTATTGTTTTGAAAACTCATTCTGAAGCAACCTGAGGCTGCTAAGGAAATAAATATTGAGGAAATCAATACTGAAAGAATAGGAACTTTCTGCCTGCAGGTTAGATGTTGGATATTTTGCATTGTGTGGAGTGTGTACTTTCATTAATATGAGTCCTATGCTGTGTAGTTGTTGTTGTGGTCGGTGACAACCATTTGAGTTTATTTGGGTTTTTTCCCTCTTTTTCAAACTGTGTAGGAATTAGGAAAGAAGTGCAGCCTTGCCAGGTTGCCCAGTAAAGTAATGGAACAATTAAAATATAGTGTAATAAAAACTACAGGTACATATTAGCTGTTTGTGTTTTTGTCCTGATGGCTAGGTATCTGCTGACAGTATGAAGGTAGTGGCCAATCTCTAAACATTAATCATTACATGATTACTCCTGAGTAATGATTCATATAGGATAATCTCAACAATGCTAATCATGGGATGGTGCTGGCTCTGTTTCAGAAGTATGACTGTCTTGCTGTAAGAAGTTAATAGCCTTGTCTCATATAAAGATCCCTTTTGTATGTTTACAAGAAAGGACACAACTTTACTGGGATGACAGAAGTAGTGTATGTGAGTGTTTCTGGATCTTCCTTTACAGCTGTTAAGAGGAAAATTGACAGTAAACCCTCTGTGCAAGTTCATACATGATGCTGCTTGAAAGCACCTCCAGGACTGCCTCAGAGGCACTAGAGGTTTCCAGCCACCTTGGCACAAACTGCTTTTTGGTCTTTGAAAACTGCGTGTTTGGGACCTGCAGGAGGTAGACTAGTGGTACTTGCTAGACATTTGCCTGCCTTCCTGAATTTAATCCTCATGCTGCAAAAGACAAACATTTATGGGTGTTAGTATGCTGATGGCTACAGATCCTCTTGCTGTGTTTTTTTCTGCAGCATTCAGAACCAGATTTGTGATACTGTTACAGCATCATCATTCAAATGGAAGAATGACAAAGACATATTGAAATGAGAACTTGTGTTTTTCCCATCTTACTGGTAGCTTCCTTCCCTCATTCCCTCTGAGATGCTTTTCTTCTTGTTCCATGACAGGACTGGCAGGTGTCTCATCAGGGAGAGTAGATCCTCTCCTACATTGAAGCTGCTTTTTGAAAAGGGTTGCAGTAAGAAGTGGGATTTTGTTCTGGCAGATCGAATTAGACCTCAAACAGACTAGTGTCTGGTCATTCATTTCCTGAGGTGGAACAATTCAGTAATTCCTGTCATCTTTGCAGATGAATGAGATTTTGTATAAATCGCAGTGGAAATCATCAGAAAGCAGTATCAAGATAGCAGGCAATTGCACTCCCAGGGAGAATTCCTCTTAAAGAATTTGCTGGCAGCTTAGGCTGAAGTAGGTTTTGGGTTTTTTTTAAATACTAATTCAAAATTAAACCGAGTCAAAACAAAAGCAACCACTCCATTTTACTTTAGATAATTCAATGAAGTTTTGTACTTGTATCATCAAAAAATGTTTTCATTTTATCAAAATGTTTTAGTGATCTCTTCTTTTATCCCTGACATCTCAATTACTAAATCTTGGTGACAATATGCCAACTTAGAATATTGTTGATAGCAAAATTAATACAATGAGGATATTAAGACAACAGTAACCTTACATATGGAACCTTTATGATCCTAAGGAGTATTAGATGGTTTTGGTATTTATGCACTTTGAATTTCTGGCTCTTCTCCTAGCTTAAATCATGTAATCTCTTTGGTGAAGCTCAATAAACTAATACCAGCTGAGAATGTCTCAGCATATTTTATAATTTGCCCTTGAATATAATAAACAACAATTCATTCAGGACTATAGAGTTTGTAACACATTATTTTCTCTGTACAGAAGTACAAGTCTTGATTTGAGCAGTGGTACAAACAGGGGAGCATCTGTCAAATGAGTAACAGGCCCTTGGAAAGAAAATGCATTTGTTTTCCGAAGTGAGCATGCTCATTATGATTCAGTTTGAATAAGCTTCCGCATTTCTCAGCTTCATCATGAAATACAAATGATGCCCATATAATTCTAGTTAAAAAGATATATGCTTTTGGATGAAATGTGATGTCTAAATTTAAGAGCTACTACTTTAAGAAAGTATTTTTTTCCCCTGCTAGTTTGCTTATTAAAAAACCATCACTATAAGATTCCTTTTCCTGAGACAAATTTCTAAAATAGACATAATGGATAACAGAGTTGAAATATTACAGAGGCTTCTAATGAAGTGGTATGACAGTATACTGTGTGATGAGACACATGATCTTTGTGAAATTTATGATGAATCTACCCTGTTTTTTCTGCTGATTTAAACTGTATATATTTTTTTCTTTTTTTTTTTTTTAGGAGTATAAGATTGGAGTTTTTTGGAGTTGTTTTCTGGGTTGTTCTTTTTTTTTGATTTTGTGATTAGTTTCAGGACTATGAAAATGCTGCAATTTGAAATAAAGGTGATAATTTCTCCAGAGATATACAAGATTATCAGTATATACATAAGAAAAGAGAGACTAAGTGACACAGGAAGGCTTCAGTGGTGTTGGCTGGAGGTGGTGTGGTATTCGTTCCCAGAGCTGTACTCCCACGATAACTCTCCGTTCCATGGCCCATAGCAAATCTCTTCTGAGCTGAAGGTCAGAGCTCTACTGGTATCTTAGTCTCAAAACACTTCATGTTACTAGAGTAAGCTATCAACGTGTTTTGCAATAGCCTTCTAGCACTCTCCTTTCTCGCTGCTACATACTTAAATCAGAAAACAGCACATACAAATGAAAGCTGCTATACTGAAAACATTTGAGTCCTCTTCTGCAAGCATGTCGGGGAAAAATAAGCTGATACACGGGAAAGCATGAAGACTTTCTTTGGGACAGTTCTTGCTCTGTAAGGAAGAGTTGAAGGCCTTGTTGACTCATACGTCTTGGAGAAGTCATTTCAATCAAGGTCATACTCAAAAGGATCACAGCTGGGTGCAATGTTTTGATCTAGATGGTTTATGGAGTAAAGCATATGTCTTTCCAGCATATCCAGTCTAAAAGAAAGAAAAGAGGAAGAAGAGTGGAGAGGAAGGAAGAGTTCATCCTTTGGCAATTTCACTATGAAATGAAACACGCTTCTTTTTCTTTTGAAAGAACTGTTTAGTTTTAAATTTATTTTGCTTTGGTTACAGATGTTAAAAAGAATTATAGGAATCCAAACAAATCATTCAGATCAGCTATAAGTTAAGTTTGATGTCTTGTTGCATTTACATTTCATATATCTGCAAACAGGTGGGTTTTTTTTCTGGCTTCTGGCAAACTGAAGATGCTCTTAGTTGCATCTGACAACAAAATCAGTGTAGAAAGGGCCACAATAAAACTGCTTGGAAAATATAGACAGGATAATTTGTGCAGAGTGTTTAAAAGTAGAAATAAGAACTTGAGCTGATGTTAAAGAAAACAAAGCACAGAATACGAAGTTGAAGAATACAGGTATCTATTTGCCAAAGGAATGCCTTAAGAAAATGGTGTAGAAGTAAGAAAATAGGTGATGATTATGTCTTCAGCTATAGTGGTTTCATTATGGTGTTGCTAGTCTTACTGATTTCATGTGCATTTTCCTCCTACTCCATCCCCTGAGATGAATCTTATTCCCTGCTTATGTAGGTTCTTGTGCTAGCAGCAGAGACTCTGTTTGTTCTCAACCACAAATACGCCTTTTGTTTTAAAATGTCATCTAGAGGCAGATGCTCAGCTAGTGTAAAACCTGGACATCGATTTCAGTGTGATCAGTATGATTGTATTCTCTGAAAACATGGCCCAAGGTCAGTAAAAATATTGACAGAAAGAGTACCCATTCAAAGTAAATATTCAAGATAAGTTAACATTGCAGGCACAGTAATATTTAACACAAACTGTTGACTTTTATTTTTTTTAGTTGAGCATAAACCTTATCCATTCATCCAGATCTACTGTATGTTCAGGTATGTAATCGTTATTGCAACTGATGTTCAGTGAAAGTTTTTCGTACCAACAAGACGGTGTATGTTATCTATTTATGGATTGTGCTGTGTGGTTGTTTTATTTTATTCTTTCACATCTTAAGTAGTAACATTTGAAAAAAAAGAAAAAGGTTTAAAATTCATATTACACCAGAAGCAGTAAGCGTGAGCCAATTGTTTACTATGTTGATAATAGTGTCCACCTAATTATCAGGACAGAGTCAGGAATAATAATGACATTTTGGTGGAATATTGCTCCTATTCTAAGCAAGAATAAATTCTGTAAAATGAAGCAGAAACTCTCTAAGTGCTTATAAGCTTTTTGCATCTAGAAGTAAAGGAAAAACCTTTGTTGCTCTTGTATGCTGCTTTATATATATCATGACTGCACATCACAGCTGTAATTTGTAATTCTCAATGTCGTTTTAAATTAATGGTGTAACAGTACAAGTGTTAAATGGTGATATTGAAACAATGTGTCCTAGTGGAAGGTGTCCCTGCCCATGGCAGAGGGATTGGAACGAGATGATTTCTGAGGTCCTTTTCAATTCAAACCATTCTATGATTCTATGATATACATTGTAGTAATTTATAAAACTAATCATGCACCCTATATTAAACATATCTTAAATAATTATTTTTTTTTTTAGAATGATTTGGATCTATCAGACTTTTCATTTCATTTTCTTACTTTCTTCTGTTTATAGCGGTAAGTGAATTATGTGTTCCCTAAGATAGACACTCGAGAGTAATGCAACTGTTGTAGGAGGGCAGATGAATAGTAACTGCAGCCCGATCCTGAGAGAGCTGTCTTGATTCTGCTGGGTTGCACTATGTTAAGTTTGGGTAACTCACATAAAACCCTACTGCCTGGCACAGAATTTTCTAATGGGGCTTTATTGACACTGTTCTGCCAACTGCCCCCCATGCTGCCACCTCACCCAGCACACAAGGGACTGTGCTAAGGGCAATTTTTGCTATTAGACTGAGGCTGAGTCCAGCTCATGTCTGTGGTATCAGTGTGATATCCAGTGTCCTACACCCAACAGCACCAGCTTAGGAAGGGATCCCTTTGCTGCTTGGTGGAGGGTGCTTCTAAGCTGACTTTACTCTAACCTGGTTCCCCCCAGCACAAATTAGAGCTCCCTAAAATTTGCAGTAATACTGGTGCAAGCTGCAGAGGAGCCTCAACCTTTTCCCCAGCCACTGCACTCGGGGTAGGAGGCAGGACTGACGGCCATCGGGCAGGAGCCACCCAGTCCCACAACGTTTTGTCATGAGTTAGTTTTCAGAATTCTCTTGATACACTGAAAAATTAGTGATCGTGTAGAGTTTTCAATGTCAGTCTGTGTTAATGATTTATCTTGTTCCCTTGGCAAAAGTCAAACTATGAAAATTGGATTGAGTTTCCCTGAAGTTCCCTGTACTGATAAATTGTAACTAGACTTAACGTAGGCTTGTTTTCAGTAATGTATTAACTGTTTCTTGGAGGACAATTAGGTAACCCAGCTTTTTAACAAAGTATTTTCGCTAAATATAATGTTATTTTAAAAAATGGTTTACACAGATTGAAATCTGAGCAAAAGTAAAATCTTGGAACATTCCTGAGGCTTTGGAAACATCTTTATATTAAACTAAAGTATTCGGAACTGGCACAGTTCGCCATGCTGCACAGTTTTACAACATCGTTTTTTTTTGTGTGTGTGTTAACTTGTATTAGATGAAGGTAAATAAGATCCAAAACATCTGATATAGAAAATAATTGCAATGTTCTTTTCTTCTGACTTTAGGATTTGCTTAGAGTGTTCTAAAGTGGTAGAAAATGCTTTTCTGTTAATGATAAAGTTGGGTGAAGAAACTCTGCTGAGAATAATAAATATCAATTTTTAGAGAAAGATATTGAAAGCATGTATACCAGAAAATTTGGATGTTTGTGAAGTGCAAATTTTGTATTAAGAAGAAATTAACCTTCACAAGATAATAGCGTATATTGTGTATATGCGTAATAATTACCTTTTTGGGGGGGGGACAAAATATATATTTTACCCATGTGCAAAATCATAGTTTGTAGTCATATTAACAAAGCAAATTGACTTGTAATATTTAAAAACATAAAACCAAACACAATAGTTCCATTTGTTTTAATTTTAAATAGCTTTTGATGAAATATGATAGCTCTATGGTAATGGATTAAGCAGCCAGCTAAACTGTTTTCACTTGGGTTTCCTCCAATTCTGTAAAAACACATAATTTTCTCTTTATCTTTTAGCAAAGAAAAAACACTTTTTGGCATATTTGCTATTTGCTATCCCTTTGGAGGGCAATATACTAGAAGAGAGTGTGAAGCCAGCCCTCTCATGTGCTTTAACATGGAGATCTTACCAATGCCTTCATTTTGAAAGATGGGAACAGGTTACTGCTTAGGTATCTTTTATTGCACTTCTCTGCAGAATTCAATATGGGATTGATGATGAATTACTGCAGATGCGAGGAGATAGTTGAGGTAATTTTTATTCCGGACAGTTCCTGAGACACTGTAACAGTATTTTCTTCATCATAAAACAAGTCATAGGGGGTTCAAGGTGGAGTGTAGTGGTGTGGAAGGTTTATAAAATGCTAGGAGCCATTGAAGCTATGCACAGGGCCACCACCTGTGACTCTGGCCTCAGAGCATCCCTGTACAAAATAAGACTGTCCTCACATGCAACTTTCTAACTCTTTTTGATCTGTGCGCTTCCTTCTCCCAGTTTTGCTCTTGGTAATGCTCTATACTGGTCTCTCTGAGAAGATACTTCTGCCACTCATGAGATCTGCCATGAGAAGCTGCTTTCCCTCTCTGCTGTGCAGATCTGCCTCGTGGCCCATCCTGATGCTTTGTCTCAGGCTGCCCTGCTCCAGCATTGGGTGCGAGACAGGGAGCAGGGGGAGACATCCCAGAGTTTTATGTCTGCTGGAGAGCAAAGATGAGACTTTCAGAGGAACTGTGCTACTCACTTTCTTCTGTCAAAATACTGTCTCAAAAGCAAGGTCAATGACAAAGAGGAACAGCGGCTTCACCCTCTCCTGGTGAGCTGTGCATGCCCTCATCTCTAATAATTTACACATTTTGCTATTCTATATCAGAATGTGTGACTCAGATCTATGAAAATACGTACTTCCAAGGAGGAGATCTCACTACAGTTTTTACACCTAGTGCCAATTACTGCCAAGTAGTGTGTACTTACCATCCTACCTGTCTGCTCTTCACCTACTTGCCAGCAACATGGACTAAAGATCCTGCAAAAAGGTAAAATGTTCACATTTGTGTGGCTTTTGGTGGTCTTTTGTGGTAATTGCAGGAACCTCGTAGTGTTCTGACAGAACATAAGCACAACGGGAAAGGCTGCAGGGTTGCCATGAAAAATGACATCATGTATCTTTAAAACTGGTGAGCTGAGAGTATTTAATTAAATTAAACAGGTTAAATTTGGCAATGTCCTGTCCTTCACACTCACATACCAACCCTTTCAAGGAAACAGATCTGACTGTGCACTCTCTCCTCCGTGCCACAAATTTGTTGTTGAGGGACAATGTGAACAATTTTGCATCTCTAATGGTCCCCTCTACTCACTCTCCCTTCTTAGCATATTTTTTTTCACAATTAAAACTTCAATATCATGAGACGGTGAGGTTCTCCTCCCTCTCTATACCCAGTTTGTCCTCCAAACCCTCTGCTCTGCTTTTCACTTTAATGAGACCTCTTGGAGCTCCCATGTACCCCTAATAATCTCATCTGCCACCAGTGCCAATAAAGCAGATGCAACTCTAACCTATATTTCTCAAAATTGCTCTTGGTCTTTAGTGGTGGGGAGTATTGGACAGCCTACATTTCACCTGAGAAGCAATTATGAAAGTCAATGTTGTACTGCAAAAGCTGTGAATTGCTGCATTTTAAAATAGGTTTTCCTGCTACTTAAAAGACAGCGATGCAGAAATGCTGCCGAAAGTGGATATGGAAGGAGCTATCTCTGGACATTCCTTAAAACAGTGTGACATCCAAATTAGTGGTAAGATATGGTTATTGACATGTATGTATTTTATGCACTCTATCATGTAGCAGACGTTAGATAATTAGCATTTCAGAAACAGGAATAGAATTAGGAAAGCAGCCAAGCAGTACTTTGTATGTTCTTTGCCAGATATCTTTCAAACACAGTTTACAAAATCTTCCATGGATTTCACTCTTCAGCTCCATCTATCCAGGCTGTTCAGAGGGGATAACAAGAAAATTATGTTCTTGCAGTCACTGTTTCGTTTGCCAGAGGCAGGTAGGAGCATATGTCCAAAGAAGGGCAATGAAACTGGTAAAGGGGCTTGAGAACAAGTCTTATGAGGAGTGGCTGGGGGAACTGGGGTTGTTTAGCCTGGAGAAAAAGAGGCTCAGGGGATACCTTAGCACTCTCTGCAACTACCTGAAAGGAGGTTGTAGTGAACTGGAGGTCGGTCTCCCATGTAACAAGCAGCAGGACAAGAAGAAATGGCCTCAAGCTGTGTCAGGGGAGGTTTAGGCTGGATATCAGGAAAAAAATTCTTCACAGAAAGCATTGTTAACTTTGTAGGGTGGATGCCCAGCAAAGCAGAATTGCATAATCACAAAGTGATGTTGCTACCTTTGTGATTCTGTGTAATAATTTATTAGAGTTCCATCTTTTATTGTATGTGTGCTACACACAGAGTCTTAGTGTCAGCATGCCATACCTGCAAGTTTTCAATAGGCATATTTAAAACCTATTAAATATGTTATTTTAAATATATTTTAAATTTGTACCATCATAAAGATGTCATTAATAGGAGATCAACTTTAAGCATAGCATGGTACTGCAGAATAACAGAATAGGGAAGAATATATTTATTTACTTCCCAACTTTGAGGCCAAACATTGCTTTACAGCTGTCAGGCTAATTCTGTAGTTTTATTGCTATCACACCTCAGTATGACAGGGCTAAGCGGGTCTTGCTTCATGCAAGTTCTCCATTGCAGCTATTGACAAATCAGTTGTGCTTGCTTTGGCTTGTCACTTGCTTTTCAGAGCAGTCAGGACTTTAAAAAGCCCTTTCCTGCCAACATCCTGTTGCATTTATATTTCTGAGGACATTTGACCCAGCAAAACAGGTTTCAGTGGGACGTTGTTCTTCATGCTATATAGACAAATTGATATTGCTAGAGTTACTGTAGCCTCAGACTAATGTTGCTAAAATAAAAATCTATCCATACATGTTTAAAACCCCCACCAATGGTTGGCTGACTCACATTCTGTGAAGGGACCCCACAGACCATGGGGCAAAACCTGCATTGGAGAAAGCTGTTTCAAAGCCCACAGTCCCAATTCTCTCTCTACGAAATGTAAACTAAAATCTTGTGACTCAAGATGAGTGATGTCTCTTGCTTATGAGGACAAAATTTCTTTTTAAACTGCTCTATGAATCTGGACACGAGGAAGCATATTTTAGTATTAATCCTAAGTTCTTGCCTTTGTACTATATCTACACTTCTAGAATTTGTTCCTAGAAGTGTATGAGAAGTATGATGTAACTAAACTGAGTGTGGGATGTGGAATTTGGACTATGAGGGCCATGTCATATGAATTGCTGTCCTTTGGGTAGTTTTAGGGGCAAGGTGGGGAAAGTAATGTTTTCAGAACTTGGTCTCTCTTTTTTTCACAGCTTGCAGCCCAGATGTCCACATAGGACTGGATATGGAAGGGAAAATTTATGATGTCACTGTGGTTGACAGCTATCAACAGTGTCAAAAAAGATGTACCAATGACAACCATTGTCATTTTTTTACGTATGCCTCAGAAACATTTCACAGTGTCAACTTTCGGTAAATACAAGTTTGATCTCTTTCCCAGGACGGTGTTGTGTTGTAGTAGAGTAAATCTCAGAGCAGTCTAAGGTGTGAGAATTTATTCAAGGAAAAAACGTTTCCTTGACTTTTCATCCTTGTGATGTTTTTTGAAACTTACATTTAGGAAAACAACTGTAGCAAATTAGCTTTCATTTGTCCACTGGTGAGGAAGACAGACTTGAATTTCATAGTACTGAAAAAAATTGAAATCCTCTGGAGATGTCGAAATGCAAACTATATTGATAGTTGTGCAACACTATTGCTGTCTTAAATCTTGTTCTGCCTATTGCTCTGAAAATAATATCATCAGAGCAGACAGAGAAATTACTTCCTTTTTATCAGGCCTACTTTTGAGCTTTTAATCTGCTCAATTTTACAAACTAAGTATTGTTCAGCTAGCTCTGTTCCTCATTTGAAAATTGTTCTGGAGATTGCTCTGGCCCATGGCCAGAATATGCACCATGGTAGGAATTACGGGCCCAGGAGAACGGTGTAGACTAAGGAAGATGGTCTGTTGTCTTACCGCTTTCTTTATTCTTTGTCATTCAGTAAAAAATGCTTCTTGAAGCATACCCGTGTAGGAACTCCAACAAGCATAAAGGTGCTTGATGAGGTTGCATCTGGATTCTCCTTAAAGCCATGCCAGCTTTCTGAATTAGGTAACTATTTAAAATCTCTGATTCAGTTTAGTTTTAAGAGTTATGGATGATGAGGTGCAGTCTACCTCTGACATGTATAAATGTTTCATTATGTGAAATAATTCTAATATAATCTTATTCTTGCAAATATAGTCAGTGCTCTCAAACACAAAGGGATTTCAGATCTTTTTAATTTTTCCATTTTATTATTTGTCTCACAAAAACAGCTGCCTGCTTTGAAGATCTGAAGAAATCTTTCATAAGCTTAGCTTGATGAAATTGTATGTTGTCTCTGTACTGTGGATACAAAAATAAGAGATAAAATCCTATCAAAGATGAGGAGGAATATAAAGCTTTCTAAATTCTGTTTGTATATCATGTATGCACTTAACATTTTTTAATGAGGACCTGTAGCTTTCTAATACAACTGGCTAATATGAAGGAATGTGTTCTGCACTTTTTCAATAATTTGTGATGAAAACAATGTCTGGGCTTGTTTCTGCAATCCTTATTCAGGCAAAACTCTCAAGAGTGCAAGATCAAACAGTGTGTATTCATAACTTCTTTCAGTTGAAACAACTTTCACATTTTTCTTTTTTTATTCTTTTTTATTTTTTTTTGTTTAAATCTACCTACACTCTGTCTCACTGTGTGGTATTTTCCCTTCATAATGGTGATGATGTTGTTCTACTTCCATATAGTCTTATTTTAGCTCACAGACAATCTAGTTTTCTCATAAAAATCACATTTTGTAGATTCTGCATCTTTTTTCTACATCAATAAATTTTCTTCAGACTCTGCTTGTCCTGCTGTAAGAATAATCTTTGGAAAATATTGAAGAAGTAGTTTGTTAAGATCTTAACAGTGAAGACACTTATAGAAAAATGAAGTGTGAAGAATAAAAAAAAGTTTTGTAAAGAGAAGAAAACAATTTAGCTATTCACTTACTGTGTGCATAAAAGGGAACGGAGGGAAGATTTTTTTCCTAACTCTGGCATTAAGATATCCTAGATAACATATATTAAGATGTCACGTACTCACAGTTAGAAGTAAAATCACAGTATTCTGCTCTCACAGACTTTGAGAATTGGGGGGCTGTAGCGTATGCACAAATAATATGATTGTAGGTTAAAAAACCAGAAAAGCCATTTGAGACTTTATCAAAGACATGGTTTATGACACTGATGATATGGCAGTAATGATCTATCCCAAATTAAATCAGAATTTCTGAAAGCATATGAAGGTCAATCTTATTAATACCTATTTCCTTTCTTTCTATGTCTTGTGAGAAAGGCAAGGGAAGAGAGAAAGGAATAAATCACAGGTTCATAGAAGCCTGAACAGAACTATTGGATTAAAAGAAGGTCATCTGTCCTAATCCAAGACAGATCACACCTGTCCAGACAGAGATTTGCCAAATGTAGTCATAAAATCTCAGTATCACCTTCTGCCTTGTTGTGTTATAAATATCTGAAATGGGTTTATTTGAATATTTGTCCTTGTTTTTTTTTTCTAACTGTATTTAGTCTCACTAGTCCTATGTTGTATATGTTCCAGAGCCATCATTTAAAAAACCAAAAAGACGTTTCCCCTTCCAAAGCTTTTTGAATCACGACAATCCCCTGTGAACACCAAAAGCTAAATTGTATCAAGAAACTTTGAGATTGCTTTGGTTAGATTTCAGGACCACTGAAATCATCAGTATTATAATATTTCTCTGTTTCTTGTTCTATCATACCCTCTTCCCTCTATTCAGTAATGCTCACGTTGTTGACAATCTAACTGTGGTTTGCTTTTCATGAAGAAGAGGGAAAAAACACTAGTTCTTTAGCCTTTACTGTGTACTCTGTCATTAGCTTTCCTTCTCTGCTGAGCAGAACCTGAGCTCCTTTCATAATGCTAATTGAATGGTACTATGTATTTTTCTTTCAAGGGTTTGTTACTTCATATTTGGCCTTTCGTTCTGTGCTTTTGCCTTTCTGATTTTGTCCTTACACATGCAAGCTACTACACATCCATAGCGGTTTGTCTATATTTCTGCCCTTTGCAATATACCTTCCTTGAAGTGACGTTCCGTATCCATGTTTGCTGTTTAAATATAATTTCCTGTAGAAACTATCCATTCTCCTAAACTCTGTTGTGCCTTAACACAGGATCTTACCTACTAATTGTCAGAGTTAGTTGACCTTTTTTTTTAACTGCCTCCTGATTTTTGGGGGCTGTTCTTACTGTGATTAAGGTAATTTTATCAAGTTAACAGGAGTCACACTAAGCTCTACCTCTCCCTTTTACTGTTTTTCCCTTTCTGTAGTAAGATAGTCCCAGTATGTTTCTATAATTCACTGGCTTGTGTCAACCTGGCTGCTCTACTTTCTTGACAGCTAAAGTTCTCTGCTGCCACCAAGTCCTGTGGTTTTGGATTATTTCACTGTTTTTACTGTCTTTACAGCTTGATAGTTTCAAGAAACATCCTCCATGCTGGTGCTTCCTTTTTTTTTTTCATCTTTTCATTGTTGAACTGGGATTTTAACTAGAACTTCAAGGATATCTTTGGAGATGGCAACTCTTTCTTCTGTTTCTAAACATGCTTCCTGGAACTATCTGTAGTCTGCTTGGACCAATCATCCCGCCAAGCCTCTGTTATGTTATTTTGGTCATGTCAGAGGGCAGATTGTATTACTCATGTTTATCCTGCCCACTTTTCAAATAGAATTTAATACAGTGTTAAGAGGTTCATCTCTTTATTTTTCTTCTAGACCTCCCATGATCCTCTTAGATATACTCATTACCCTAATAATTTTAGACTTTGCCTAGATTACCATGACAAAAATATTTCTGTGTGTTTGTACGCGTTTCCACTGTTCCTGATTTAAAGCCTTCCCCGTTAGATTAGCAAATCTATATTCTAACATGTCATTTCTCCTTTTCTCTCTATGAGCCTTATACCTGCAAAAGTCCTCTCCATGAGTTTACATACTCAGATTTCATACTGAGAAATAATTATTGGTTAAAATGTGATGTTTTCTTTCCACTTTATCTGTCACAAAGGAAGGAAAATGTGAATAAGGGTAAGAGTTAAGCTGTAAACCGTAATATTCTGATGACAGAATAAATTCTTTGGAATTTTGATATTTTGTTCTTTTTTTATACAGATTGTCAAATGGACATTTTTGAAGATCAAGAATTTTCAGGAATGAATATTACAAGTTTTTTCACTCCTGATATCTCTGTCTGCCAAACTATTTGTACATATTTTCCAAAGTGCTTGTTCTTTACATTCTTTACCAGGGAATGGCAAATAGAATCCCAAAGGTGAATATGACAACTAACTTCAATTCTCTAAGTAGATTTTTTTTTAAAGCACACAGTATTTTTAATTATTATTTTCATATATTTATGGATATTTTTTTACAAGGTTATTTTCAGTAAAGCACAGCTTTTTTTTTGTATTTGTAAGTTTTTTTGTTTTCTGTGGGCGTTTCATCTGTTCTCTAGTGTGATGAAGGGTTTTGTATTGCAGCTGCGTATCTGCTGTTAATCTGAAAAGAGCTGTACACATCAAAGAGACAGTGAGCATCCAGATTACTTTAATGACTTAAAACTGAATTTTATGAAATTATCAAGAGAGTCATCTGGTTTCATAGCAGTATTGAGTTATTTCGTTGAAAAAAAAAAAGTGATGAATTTTACAGGTTTAAAAATGTTTCTATTGACCTTCACTCTTTCGTATTTAGTTGTGAGAACAGTTAAAAGTCTACATTCCACACTAAGCAGAAGAATAAATTTTTGAGGGAATTTCAGGGGAAAACAAAGCTAACATGGCATATATAATCTAAAATCACTTCTTCCATGTATGTGTAAATACTGTACGACCTTTAGTAGTACAGTCATGTACCATTTCACAAAACTGTAAAAGCCCCCTTAATTTAGGGTGAACTTGCTGAATTCATTTTCATATTTTCAGATAGAGACTTGGGAGAAAAAGCACATTTAAGAAGAATCGTTCCTTACCAGTAACTAAACAATCAAATTGGGGGTGTAAGAACAGATTTAGTTGTTGTGAAAAAATTTCATTTTAGAAATCTTTGCCTTCTGAAGACATCAACAAGTGGGATACCAGAGGCACTTATATCACGAGAAAATGCTGTATCAGGCTTTGGTCTCCGAAATTGCAGAAGATCCTTTCCTGGTAAACAATAAATTACAATAAAAAAAAATGGATTAATCAAATTAATAGACATTCTAATGTTTGGAATGCATTCTATCTTGCAGCCTGCAATTCTCGCACTTACATGGATATGAATTTTTTGGGAGATGAACTCAATGTCACTTACACTAAAGGACACAGAGCCTGTCAGCAAGTTTGCACAGACACGATCCGCTGCCAATTTTTTACCTATTTTCCCCTCCAAGATTCATGCAATGAGGACAGGTGAGCTAATTTTTTTAAATGTTCAAAGATTACCAGAATAGTCAAAGATTACCAGACTTAGTGAGAGGGTAATGCATCCGTTCCGCCTAAAAAATGGACCAAACTGAATCTTTGCATGAATTCATTGGCAGAAAGTGTCAGTGTCACCTAAGAATGTCCTCAAATGGATCTCCAGTGCAAATAGTGCATGGGCCAGGAAGGATCTCTGGATACTCACTAAGGCTATGTAAAAAAAAAGCCAGTACTGGTAAGTGAAACTTTTTCAGTGTAAAAGAGATAATGCTTAACTGGTTTCAGTACAGGAGGGTTTTTTTGTTTATTTTTCATATGTTTTAATTTGTTTGTTTGTTTGTTTTGTTTTTGTTTTTAACTTGGTTGCAATGATTTGGTTGCATTCTCCAACGGGACACCTTGTGAAGTTAAGAATGTTCTGAAAAAGTGAAATTGTCCAGGTCAGCACACAGTAGACACCAACAGTAGCACCATGAGCTTGGTTTTAACAGACTTTATGATCATAAATCATGAAGGGATTAGAATGTGTCATGTATCAGCCTCTTAGCAATAGATTGGTCCATATTTGGGCATCAGCAGTAGTGTCATCTTCGTTTTTTATTGGTGAGTGTGAATTATCTTTAAGCACAGTTTTAAATTATTTCTGTAGTGTGCATGCAGCATTCTGCACGAACCATTAGGATCATTGGAGGGAGAGACTCTTCCCCCGGTGAGTGGCCGTGGCAAGTCAGCTTGCACGTGAAGTTGTCTCGTCAGAGACACCTCTGTGGGGGCTCTATTATCAGCAACCGGTGGATTCTTACAGCTGCTCACTGTGTCATGAGGTGAGGCCTACAGGAATAAAACAAAAAATTTCATCCTGTGTGTGAGCTAAGTTGAGATTTACCTTTCAGAAAAATAAAAAATAGGACTAGAAAGAAATAAGCTATTTTAATGTCACCAAAGGTGAGCTTTTAAGTTAGACTGCTCATATCTTTAATTTAACTGTAACTGCAGACTGTGTACTGCTGATGTTAAGTTATTTTAATACATCTAGAAGATGAAACCTTAAACTAGACACCAGATAGAGAAACTTAGACATTCTCATGCCATATAAGCTCTTTTTCTACTCTAGTACCGTATCAACTATTAAGGAAAATCTGTTGCTAGGCTACTCTAGTTCATAAACTTCAAATAACTTATTTGAGAAATTTCTCCATGGCATTTAAGAAATGGGTGCTAATCTGGTACCTTTAGCAGCACAGTACTCAGCAAGTTAGCTTATTTGACCAGGACATGAAGTAAATCTCTGTGAGGGTCCAAATAGACTGCTTCTGGTGCCTGAGCTACCCTTCTCTGCATTACATGAGACTGAGATACCAATTCTTCTGCTTTTCCTTTAACAGTTTTCTTTTTCAAATTCTGTTAATCAGTTAATTAATATCTTAATTTTAATAGTAGATTTCAGCTGTAAGAACAAAATTTAAAACAGGCAATACCTAAGACATTGCTGATTGGCACTGACTCATACAGTCTGTATTGTTAATCAAATTACCGTCAGATTTGAGTCACAAAATTACTTTTAATGTCAAATGGCTTCTAATGTAAATTGTGATTTGTCATAATAACTATGTAACTATGATTTAATTGTTGTGCAGATGGGTCATTGTTACACTCTCATCACCTGTAAAGCAGGTGACCTTGTCATTTACAGAATGAAAAGTTTAAGGCTGTGATGGTCTGATGGGAGAAAAGGGACAGGTGACAGAAAAAATGCTTCATAGGAGAGGATATTGATCCAGTAACATGGTCCAAAATCAGTCATTTTTACTCACACAGTGTAGTATCTAACCAATTACTGTTTTTCTTAGAATAGTATTGCCAGTAGTGTGCCTCCAATGATTAAACTCTCTAAAAATCCCTACATAAGAAAAATATTCTCTACCTGCTGCCAAGTGTAGAAATTATCAGTATTAAGAAAGGCAAAGAAATAAGATATGCATGCAAAATATAAAAAAATAGAGTTTCTTAATTGTAAATTATTAAGCCTGACGTTTTTGAATTCATATACCAAAATCTTTAAAATTATTGGAAAGTTTATTTAAGACAAGTTTTGCATCTTCTTCATTGCCTGTACTGAGACTTCTAGGTTGCCTTAAGGGCAGAATATCACAATGAAATATCCCTTAAACTTACTCAAAGTAAAGTTGAAATCAGAAGGATTAACTGGAGCTTTTCATATAGGGTACAATATTACATGCTCTGATCTCTATTTTCATGGCTAATGTCCTTTTCCTAAGAAATGTATTAGAATAGACTCTACTTGAATTTCCCAAACGTGTTTTCATTACTAGAAAAACTGTTGTGTTTGTATGAATCAAAATAATATATTTTACTACTCCAGGGCTTGCATTAGACCCTTAAAAATTAAAAAAAGAAAAAAAAATAGGAGAAGAAAAAAAGAGAAAATAAAAGGAGGCAGAGGGGGAAGGAAGATAAAGAAGGATCGGGGCAATTAGAGTCTGAATATACAGGACAGAGCAAACTAATGTGTGGATAAAAGCATAGGTATGGAGAGGAACAGAAAGAAGTGTAGGAAGTGGACAAAATGTTTAGAGAGTACAAAAATAAAAAATAGAAAGAATGACCTCAGTGCTGTTGACTGTACAATCATGAGTAATGGAAGATCTTGACACCTGCACAAAAACTCTAAATCAGTGCAAATCTTTTGCCACAGACTGACTGTTTCTCTTTTCCCCCTCAGTCTTGAGAATCCCAACATTTGGCGTGTTTATGCTGGTATTTTAAAGCAATCGGAAATAAACAAGGATACGCCCTTCTTCAAAGTGGAGGAGATTATTGTTCACCCTCAGTATAGATATGCACAGACCGGATACGACATTGCTTTAATGAAACTTGATAAGCCTATGAATTTTACTGGTATGTAGTGTTTTTCAGAGGAATTCTGAAAATGCGGAGGATGACACAGAGCTGGCATTGGTATGGCAGCACATAACACCTGGGCTGGCTTCCTTTAACAGGCAGTTACTGGGATTTGAGAAGAATCTCATTCTGTTGGGTTTGAAAGAAATGGGTGGCTTTTATTTATATGACTGGAAGGATATATAGTATAAAGCACTAAGCATAACATGGAAGTTATCATCAGGGGTCATGTAGGTTGCAGTTGTCTCTGCTGGTCAAACTAATATTTTCAATCATATTTTAGATCTTCAACTACCTATTTGCCTGCCATCAAAAGAAGATGCTAACATACTTTATACTGACTGTTGGGTAGTTGGATGGGGTTACAGAAGAGAAAAAGGTACAGATAAATATTTAAACAGTTAGTTCTGGTATTTGCAAAATGTATGTGGTTAAAAAAGAAGAAACACTTTTTTTTTAAAAAACAAACAAACAAAAAAACCCCTTCTTTTTGAAAAGAAATTTCTACTATATTCTTGGCTACCATTATTGCTCTCTGGCCAGCACTTTAATATGATTCTTAAGTAAAACCTACTTCTATTAAGACAGCATAAAACATAGATGAATGATGTATGAAATTATCATTAAATAACTCTGTGCTGTGACACATAAATTAGATTTTACAAATTGTTTGATTTAATAGTTTGAAATATCTAAGAATGCAACCTTAAATATATCCTGTACAGCCATTAAATACTCTTCTTTAGATTCTAGGTAATATGCTAGCAAAATCCAGTATATATCTGGAATGCACACTCCTTTTTCTGCTCTCAGCTGAAAAAAACCAACACACTTGTCACTGAACTTTGAGACTTTGAATTACAGTCTGCACATAACTTTTTTTTAACGTGATTGTATTCATATGACTTTAAAAATTGGAGATTGATGTACGTTGCTTTTAAGATTCTGAAGGTTGATTATAAACAATGCCAATGACTTTTGCGTTTCAATAGTAGATGGGATTTGAACTCCTCTGATTTTGTGTGGAGGTAGGCCAAATAGCTGTTAATTATCAAAGTCTGATTTTACATGTATTTATATTTTTGTATGCGTAATGTTTATGTGTGTGTGTACAAACCTATTTAAGCAGTGTCCTTTTCTTTATACACCTTCCCATTTGAAGTTTAGAGTTCAGTGTGAAATCTAACAAATTTAGACAGATATTGTATAGGCTAATTTCCTCTGTTAATTTCTAAGAAAATGCTGCTCTCAAATACTCTTATTTATGCTATGTGCAAACTTCTCCATCCTGTAAAATACTAGGACACAGAGCAGCACAGATTTTGCAGCTGGGAGGTTCCAAACCTATTGGGACACCTTACTAAGAAACAATTGTGAATAACACAAAGTAATGATGTTTGTAGGAGGACAGTCTCCAATGGCCAATGTTCTAAAAGCCGTACTCATACGAGGATTCATTGCAAATCACAAGGGAGTATCAAAGCTTGCTCAGTCATGAGACATAAAACGGCAATACAAAAACTTTCAAGCTGGCAGACAGTTCATGTTATTTACTAACACAAAAAAGGGAAAATCAATGTAATGAACATCTAACAACCCTCTAAAAGCTGTGGCCTTTAACTTTGTAATATCACTGTATGGGGTTTTCTAGAGTTTAATTTTGACTTTTATGTTGCTAAAAGCAAACTTTTCTCTGTTCATACCACATAATACATAGGTCGTGTACAAGATATTCTTCAAAAGGCTACCATTCCGCTCATGTCAAAAGAGGAATGCCAGGCAAAGTACCGGAAGCGCAGAATAGGTGACAAAGTCATCTGTGCTGGCTATGATGAAGGTGGAAGGGATGCTTGTAAGGTAATGAAAAGAAATAGTACGTAGACATATATTCCATCCATTTGTTCAAAAGTATAACTGAATACTGTAATTATTTTTTAATTGTCATTAGAAAGACAGGGTCATCAACAGAGCTGTTGATTTATATGTCATTTTTGCATGTCGAAGGCACCGAAAATCAAGGTGTATACGAAACATTTTTTGTCCGGTGTTGAAATCATAAGGAGTAGATTCCATTGATAAGAGATTATGAGGGCGTGTTGATATGAATACTATAATTATTTTTTAATTGTCATTGGAAAGATAGGGTCATTGATAGAGCTGTTGATTAACACTTCTTTTTGCATGTCAAAGGCACCGAAAATCAAGGTGTATGCAAACCATTTCTTGTGCGGCATTGAAATGGTAAGGGATAGATTCCATTGATAAGAGATTACAAGGGTGTGTTATGTATATCTCATCCATTCAGAGAATAAAACAGTATTCCTTTGGAGTATTGACAGTTCAAAGAGAGCAAGTACAGTATCTCAAAACATTCTGCAATAAAAGCAGATTTACTATGTGACATTTTTATTTCTTGATATGAAAATATAGTAAATGAAAGCTTATTTTAAAGCATCCACTGTGTACAATCCAGAAGGGAGGGTGATAGCAATGCTATTAAAATGCACGGGGGATAGAAGCCTAAAGGTAACTTGAGCAGACTGGTCTGTTATTATCAGAATTTAAAATGTCACAACAGTGTGAGTTCAGTGAGCCAAATCTCTGTTCAAGTGTAAACTCATGCACATGCATTATTTAAATATTCTAAGTTAATTTATGCAAGAAGAAAATAGTCTGATTAGTAAGATTAAATTCTCTATCAAATGCAGCCTTTTTTGTTTTTAGCATTTAACAGTTAACATTTTTATGTTGAAATGTTACTGTTGCTATTGTCGGTATTGAGTAATAAAGAATAAAAATATTTGGAGCTGGGAAGTAATTTTTCTCTATGCCAATTAAGCTTTCTTTATCTAATACAGTGTATCAGAACATGGAGATGCTGTTTTATAAAAGTAACACTCTTGGTATTTTCTCAACAACTCATAACAGCTACACTGAAGAAGCTTATGGTTCAGAAAGATCAGTTAGGAATAAGAAGAGAGATGTGTTTTATCCAGGGTGGAGTGTCACTCAGACAAGATAAGCCATGAAGAAAACTGAGGATTGTGTAGTAAAACCAAGGTCAAAAGAGAAAACACTGGCAAGTTTACCGGTTTTTCTCACTGGTGCATGTAGTCTTCATTGGGTTTGAAATCATGTGTAAGTCAATAAAATAAAAAAAAGAACACAACCAAACAACAAAAGAAACACAATAGTTTTGAGCCTTAATAGGAAGTGGAAACTACTGCAATGACTGGAAAAGTATTTAGAAGTCAATTTACCAGAAAATAAAACAACAGAAAACCTGCTTCAGTATTCTGTTAATTAGCCTTAAATGAAAGTAATTGAAATCTAGGCAGTTATGCTGGTGTTAGCGCTGAACCATGATGATTTTAATCAAGATTTTCTTTGAGAGAAATGCTGACAAAGGGTGTTCCTCGTGTGCTCTGTCTTTCTCCTGTGACACAGGGAGATTCAGGAGGCCCGCTGTCGTGCCGGCATGAGGAGGTGTGGTATCTGGTGGGCATCACCAGCTGGGGTGAAGGCTGCGCTCGCCCCAGGCAGCCAGGGGTCTACACAAAAGTTGCAGAGTTTTCTGACTGGATTCTAGAAAAAACTACATAGCATGAGAGTTACCTACTGGCTCACAGTGGTGTGGTGAAATAATAACCCTAGGAGCTCTGTGGTAAAGTGTACTAAGGGCTTTAAGGGCTTTTTTTTTTAATTTTATTTTAAAATGGTGTTTATTTTTAGCCTGGAATGTAAAAAACCATGATCTGAAAAGCAGAAAAGCCAGAATGAATTAACTTTGCCATTACTAAATAAAAGGCTGTAATAAAAATAAACTCTGTAGTCATGGACTTGACAGAAAAAAGTGTCTGAACCAGTGATTTCTTCTGTCCTTGCTAACATAAAATGGGAGTGGATGAGGTTGCATGGCATGTATGGATGTATGGACCTGGGAGCTGGAAACTGCTTCTGACTCCTGAGGCTTGGACACAACAATGGAGATTTCACTCCCTTATCTGAATTTGGTTGAAATGGGCCAGCCAGTTATAAGCTTACTAAAGGGCTTGGAGAAGGGAAGCTGAGGCAGCAAGAAGCCCATACAGTTGTGTAAACCTTGTTTCCTTAGGGAATTAGCAAAGAAAAGTGGTGGTACTAAACAAGAAAACAAAACCAGAGGTCTTGGCAAGACCTTCAGTGACATTTTTTCAAGAATGGCAATTGTGCTGTCTTGATATAATTCTAATTTCTGTGGAAAGTTTTGTGAAAAGAACAATAATGTTGGTGTACTTCCCTTGAAGCAGAATATCCAGAAGGTCCATGAAAGAAACATCCCCTTTAGAGAAATCATATGTCATTGGTCTTTAGCACAATATATTTTTGTTTTCCAGATCCCTCCCTCCTCTTGATTAAAGAAACAGCATTCTCCTTTTTTCCCTTTTATACTTTCTCCTTATTTTATGTCAGGTAGCAAATATGCTTCATGGCCAAAATAAACAGTAGTTTGGAAAACAGAAGTCAAGAATTTATTTTCCCATGGTAAGTGGCAGCATCTCAGAGTTAGTCACAACGGAAGGCATGGGACTTAGTGTTTGTCTTTGCTGAGCTTCATGAGCTTGTTTCCTAATAATCTGCATTAATTGCTAAAAATATGTTCTCGAACACTGCTTATAATTACCACACACCCACACTGGCTGCGTTGTGAAAACTTTACAAGTAAATGAGATCATGAAGATTAGAAATTAAACACGTCAAATTTATGGAAGAAAACAAGCTGCTGAAAGTGACTTGTGCATTTTATCTTTTGATACTTTATTAACAGCTAACACTGAGGAAAAAGTAGTTCCACAACCACAAGGTTGCAAAGATTTTTATCTATGCCTGAGTCCAAAGAGCCCCCTGTGTTGGAGCGCTTCTCGGGGCGTGCAGTGCTAAGCTGAGCGCAGTCAACGCACCTGAAATTCCAAAGCTCCGTTCAAAGGCTGAAGGGTTTTGTTTTGTCCAGTTTGTTTGGTTTTTAAACAATTGAAATACAAAACAGTCCAAACCTAACAGCAGAAAAAGGGGGAACAATGTTGCTGCAGACACGTCTCAGGAGAGAAGGGTGCTGCTTTCCCTCCACCCTGAGATGGGCTCCTGGGGACAGGGGCTTGCGTTGCTGGTGGTGCACAGTGCTGAAGGTCTCCTGCTTTGAGAATCCCTGTGCTGTCTGGAGATATTCAGAGAGCCAACAGGCAAAATCTGGCATACAGTGGGGGAATTGGGTCAAAAGGGAGAGGGAAGGCATATCACTGTGCTTGGACTTTTTAGCAACACTGCAGAGGCAGAATAGGAGATAACAGTGGGAGTTGATGTCCTTTTCATGGTCTGTTTAATCCACAACTGGTTTAAAATATCAGCAAACCTCAGATGTGCTGTCAAAAACGTAGAGATTTAAATAAAGGACCGAGAAAGAGTAGGAAAAAATAGAAAATATGGCAAAAAATGAAAGATTCCTGGCTTTCAAATGTGGTTCTGCTCTCATGGGGAAGGAATGAAGACAGCTGGAAAAGAGCTGCTGAAGAAACAAAGGAATTGCTTCAGTATGAAAACAGAGGCTGAAACTCTAAAGAAGAATTATCAGGAGACCATCCAAAATACCCATTTGCTAATACTCAGGCTGTGTAGTTGGTAAAGAGCATATGAAATGTCAAACTGTTAACCTTTAATGCTTTCTTGTAATAATACTGTCATCATGTCATCAGCTTCTTTTCCAAATGCTCACGAAATGCACCTGCTTTTCTATTTTTTCTCTTTTTTTTGGTTTTGTTTGTTTTTTTCTTTTTGTTTGTGTTGTCTGCTACAACTTTCCACTTGTGCCTACTTGAGTAATGAGGAGGTATGGCACATCAGCAGTGCTGTTTAGACCTCTGGAGCTCCATGTTCTGTTTCTCGGAGTGACCTGGTGACAGCGTCATGCTGAAGTTTTCCCATGGAAAGGATAAGGCATGTCAGTGACTGCCTATATCCTTCATGAGCAGGTATAACATCTTATTCCAATGTATTTTCACCTAAAGCAGACATTCTTCAGTGAAGTTTTGCATTACTTGTCTGTTCATCCATAATAAATTCCTGGTAGCCAAGTGAATAACAGAAGTAGATATTATGTGGAGGCTGCAGGAGTTCCTGGTAACTGTACCAAGTCCTTATCCCTTCATTTAAGAAGAACTACATGAGGAAATATCTCATCTTTCTGTGTATTTTTATACCAGCACAATATGTAATTCATCGAGACCTTTAGACTCACAGATAGAAACACATTATTGTTATTAAGTGCTATGTTGCTTAGGCTTTCTGATATCAATAGGTAGCTAAATGAGAGGAAATTTATGACTTTCATTTATTCTACCTTCTCCTCTGCCTCCCTGGGGAAAAATAATTTTTAAAAACCAACAACCAAAAAACCTATCTCTCTCTGGCCTTATACTTACAATCTGCCTCTGTTTATGTTGATACAGGACATAAACATCAGTGCTTTAGTTGTTATTTTGATTAATGGCAAGTGTCTCTGGTGGTGTCTTGTGTTCAGCTCTTTAGTTATATTGAAAGTCAATAATGCTCATAATCTTACACTAGATAGGCAGAAATCTTGCAAGGGCTAAGCACCACTGACATGTTGAATGGTAGCATTAGTCTGTCCTGAGTTTTCATGTAAATAAGGTCCCTGATCCCAGAAATTAACAATCTTGTTCGGGCACAGCTGAAGTACTTTATGTGTGTCAAGATAGTCTGTAAAACAATTAGTTCATCATAAAATAAGACATATTGTGGTGCTGCTCAAATGACCTCTTTAACTTGTAATAGTTTTCTCTGTAGTCATTTTAATAGAATTGTAAATCAAACAAAAGCAGCTTTGCATGTAACTGGTGATACAGCATATTTCCTACCGGTGCTGATGCTTTGCTTAATGTCTGGGGCTGAATTACATCTTCCTGAAAGTCACCTGAGCTGGTAACAAGATATGAACCTCTCATTTCTTCTGCCTGGGAGAATTAAAAATTCTTGCAATGAAGATGTACAGAGACCACCAAGTATGCCCATTTCCTCCGCTTCCCTGGCAGAAGGGACCAATTTACTATACGCTTTTAATATAAGTTTTATGTGTTCTCTGAAAAATTATTGTCCTGCTGTGATGAAAAAAATTCGTCTCAGATGCTGAAAAATAAGGAACTGAATAGAATGAAACTAAATTCATGGTGGTGCTCTTCATAGTGGGATAATTCACTCACTTAAATTAAAATGCGGATTCTTACTCTCTGCCTCATTTCCAGTATGTACGGAGGATTCTTTGGAAAATTATTGTTAGCTCATTTTGTTTATGAAATATCTACATTCTAATATATTAAAAATGCATTTCCACTTCAGATAGAGGGCAACATGCATTTGCCTCTTTGAACAATAATAGCAGATATGTAGTACTGCATATTTATAGTCAAGCATTTCCCGGAATAGTGAATTAATTGTTTTCCTGTGGTCTTTGTGTTATAGTTCATATTATGGACCCTTATAGATGTATTAGAATTATTGTGTAGTGTTTCATGTCCCACAAAATTTTTCATGAGAGTTATGCAGTGTAGATGTAGAACAGTTGCTTTGCATCACTTTAATGTTTCTTAATTTTCATAGGGTCCTAGAAAAGAGATCTGGAGAATGTCTTTAGAGATTTACCAACCTGCCCTGATGCACAAGCAAGAATCCCTATGACATAATTGACTAGACTTTCTCCAGCCTCTAGTAACAGAGGTTCTACAGTCACCTTGTACAAACTGCTTCAGTGCTCAGCAATCTTTACCACTACAAAGTTTCTCCTTGTCATTGACTCAATCCTTCCTGCAGTTTAATTCTAAGTACTTCTTGTACTACGTGCTATGGAAATGGGGAAGGAGAAAGTTAGTCTTTTGCTGCTGTTGTGGGTTTTTTCATTTTCTGTAGTCACCCTTCATACATTTGATACTTTTCATATCACAGTGTGATGCTAGCCAATGTTGAGCCAGTTCCCACATTTTTTTTAGTTGCTTTGTTTGTAAAGACCAGAAAGGGAGCTGTTAGGAACTAAAGCTCAGGTGAAGTTATTGAGAGAAGAGTTGGAGCAAGCAAAACAAGAATCCGTGCAAGATGAAGAGAAAACAGCCCAAGTGGTGAGGACTCATCTAAGTACCTGAAACTGAAGCACCTGGACATCTCTTGCAGGTCCATATAACTGTACTCCAGGACCTGAAGATTAATGAGGTATGGTTCAAAAACGGGCTAATTAGCTCTTTGTGTGCTAGCAAGTTATAGAGTTGGCTGAAGTGCAGTGCTGCCCTAATGTGACTGTGCTGCACTCAGACCTGCACTTACTGCCCCACACTTCCCTGTTACGATTTGCTGCTCTGCAGCAGCCCAAATTTCTGTCCATACTTTCACACTTTTCTCCACCGATCTAGCCATCTGGGAGATTTTGTCTCCTGGATAGCTCTTAACTAACTTTTACCCTCATGATCATGTATAGTGATGTGAAGAATGGTCTGATCTTAATTATCATAGGAGATCTTGAGAAACCCCTTTTCTGGGGTGTTAATGGGTGATGTGGCCTCTCT